ATTTTACAAAGTACAATCCTAAATTTCTAGAAATGTACTGCCATCTACTGCATATAAAAAATCATTGCAGGATATGTTCTTCCCACTGGATTTATCTATTTATTTATTTGTTTTTAATTTTTTTGAGCCAAAGTTTCGCTCTTATTGCCCAGGCTGGAGTGCAATGGCACAATCTTGGCTCACCGCAACCTTCGCCTCCCAGGTTCAAGCAATTCTCCTGCCTCAGCCTCCTGAGTAGTTGGGATTACAGGTATGTGCCACCATGCCTGGCTAATTTTGTATTTTTACTAAAGATGGTGTTTCTCCATGTTGGTGAGGCTGATCTCAAACTCCCAACCTCAGGTAATTTGCCCACCTCAGCCTCCCAAAGTGCTGGGATTATAGGTGTGAGCTACCACGCCTGACGAGAATTATTTATAATCAAGCAGTCGCGCCCATTGAAATATGCATGAATTTATAAGATATGGTAACTGCCATAAAGAACTCATTTAGACTTTTATAATCTTTAATTTTCTTATCTGAAATGTTCTCATCTCAGTTTTCCATTTTGTCTCTTTAAATTCTATTTTAATCTTTTCATTGAATTAACTTTTGCAGTTACATTTTAAATCTCATAATGCTTAATTCTTTGAATTCCTTCCTTTTAATAGCATCTTCTTGTTTCATGTGTATATTTTCTTATCTGGGGATATGAATTGCATTTTGTTTTTCTACTTCCTGCACGAATTCTGTTTCCTTTGTGTTCCTTCCTTCCCTCCCATTGTTTATATGTCTCTCTCCCACTCCTGAAGCATTTCTCAGCAGTCAGATGATTGTCAGCTGTCCACTCATGCTGCTAGCAAGGTGCCAGCAAGCTGACAGCAGTGGGAGGGGTTTGTTCACAGGCAGGCTTCTCTGGCCAGGATGGGCTGCTGTTTCATTGAGAACCCTCAAACTGCCAGTATATGTTAAGTATTTTTTTCTTGGATAGGATTTCTCAGAAAGGAACCCTTTAACTTCCTGCTTAGAGAATGTTAAATTGATCCTGGTTTTCTAGGAGCTAAGAAGGAAGCTGGGCATCTGACTGCTCAGTGTGTAGACTTCAACTTAATCCTCTGCTTTCAGTATAACACTGTGGCTTTCATCTCTGCCTGGTATTCCCGAATCCAGAGGCCCTGATTCAACAACTCCAGAAAATAGACCAGTGTTCCATGGGTGAGTGGGGATGTAGTTTCCTGCTCTAGGTGAAAAGGGTAAGTAGGAGGGTCTCACTGCGGCTTAACAGGCTTTCCACTGCTCTCGTTTTTGACCACACTTCCCTAGCCTTTGGAGGCACCTAATATGCGAGCTTTAAGGTCCTGAATCAGCTTGCTTCTGCTCCTTTCCCCACCTCCTCCTGTGGGCACTTTGCTTTTATTTTTCTGTAGTTTATTCAGTTACCAATTGCCCATTTGCTTCCTAGTTTCTAAAAATTATTTTGTCATCTCCCTGTCATTTCTTCTCTTATCCTTTTTGGCCTTGAGTTTATACTGTTTTCATTTGTGTGTTTTGTTGGTTTTTGGATTTTGCAAGTAAAAGTAACTGTCTTACTTTGAGATGGAGCCAGGGACCCCTCTTAGGGGCCTGCATCCTGTCCCCCCACCAAACAGAATTTTAAAAATCTTGAGTTCCTAAAAAAAAAAAATTCCAGACACCTAACTAGCCCTAAAAAATAAACAAAAAGATGATAAATTAATAGCCAAAAAAAAGTAGTCACTGTATGTTTGGTCTCTATAAAAACTAAAAAGAGCATCTTATAATATGTCCCTAAGTTGTTTTTCAAAAGCCCAGACCTGCCACCAAATGGATCCACTGACATATAGACCTCTAATAAGGGGGAACTGAAGATTAAATACTGCCATTCCTTGTTCTGAATTTCTTCCTAAGGGCCTAAAAAAGTCACACCCATGTGCCAGGGCTAACATTCTTTTCCGATGACCCCAAAATTTTAAATAAACTTCTCTTCCTTAATCAATTACAAACCAAAAAAGTCTTTAATCTACCTATTACCTCTAAGGCCCTGCTTCAAAATACCCTGCCCTTTTAGGCCAAACCAATGTATAATGGAACCACCATGTATTAATTTACAATTTTGCCTGTAACTCCTGCCTTCCTAAAATGTACCCCTGCCTTTAAAAACCCTTCCTTACAAGCCATTGGAGAGGTCAGGTCCTAAGTATAAACCTCCCAATTCTCCTTGCTTCAAGGTGCCTACAAATAAATGCCCTCCTTTCTCCTGCTGAAAACCTTGGTGGAGATGTTTGGCCTTACTATGCCAGGCAAGCAGACTCTAGCTCAGTTTAATAACATTTTTGAGATTTTTCATTCATTCATTAGTATTAGTATGGGTATGTATTATAAGTTCTAGTTTCCTTACATGCAAGTGTGACCACTCCTTATATTTTCACCTAAGTCATTAATGTTAATGAACACAGTGGCATGTCATTTGCAGTTTCTCTCCAGTTGACATCAATCTGTCAACATGTATTCTTTGAGTTTGGTCATTCTACCAGTTGAAAAACCAGCCACTCTTTCCCATTCAATCTGCAAGCAGATCGCAGCAGGCTTCCTCACAGACTGCTGAAACCCAGATACATAAAAACTAAGGTAGTCCTCAGAGCCACCAGTCTACCAAGCAAAAAGGGTACATCTCCTAAATGATTGAAGTGGATGTTATTATACAATCAAGGATAGCTTATAGAATAACTCCAAGGGTGAGAAGGCAGCTGGCCTTTTTGCTTGGAAAAAAGAGTAACTACCCTATGGAACATCATTTCTCCTAAGGGCACACAGGCGGCTGGAATCATGCCAGGAATAACATGCCCAAGTGGTTTCCAGAATCCACCTTTTGCCCACTTTAAAAAATCAGTTCATTTGATTATTTTCTTCTGAGAATGCCTCAACAATTATAATTTGCAATTTCATAGCATAGCAATGACTATGGGGACTATGGGCCTGGAGGCGAAATTCATTTCTAGTCCCTCTCACCCACTATCTTGCAATTTCCAAGCATAGCCATGAGTTTGGGGACTATGGTGGAGATGCAGTTCTAGTCCCACCTTACCCATATCCTCACCCACTATCTTGGGCATTAACTCCTTTCTACCCTGTTCAGTATTATGTTCGAGTGGACGTTCTTTCAATCTTAACTATAGTATTATAATACTATTAGCTTTACTACACCACAGCAGGAACATTCCTCCTGTTCTTGCTCTGAACAATTTTGTAAAGCCTTTTTATTGTGGATTAGACTTTGTGACACTGCTTATAATTCAGCAACAAATTTTTTATATTCATTCCTGTTTATGTTCTTTCTTCCTATGAAAATAGCTAGAAAGCAGTAATGGTAAACTAAAAGGACGATGGAATGGTAGTGAATGAGTCCGAATGTTTTGTGTGTGCATCTAACAGAAAAACTCAAGCTGGTGTAAAGTGGAAGCTATGACAGAGTCAAGGATATATCCTAGAATGAATCCAAGGGTAAGAAAGCAGCTGGCCTTAGGATAGAAGTGAAAACTGGAAATCTCTGGAGCTTCAGAGAGAACTCTCTCCTTTGCTCATCTTTACTTCTTGTAATGCATACACCTCACTTATTTTTTTAACAGAATGAGTTAACTGCTAGTTGGCCCCATTGTTCTGAAGTTCTGGTCCCATATGAAGGCTCTATTTCAATTCTGAAATTCCCAGGGAAAAAGGGAGGAAACTCGGTTGGTTCAGGAGCAAACTCCCTCCTCGATCAACTGTGATCATGTAGGAGCAATGGAATCTCAGTGTATACAACAGTTATCAGGATCCCACTGCTAAGGTGAGGATGGCAGGTAAGGAATGAATATGAGCTTTTAAAGAGACACTCCAAAAGATGTTTTCTACAGGGGCTTTGATGGGCCAAAGGCCTAGAAGACAGAAACACTGACAGTTTCGTTTTTCTTTCTCAAATGAACTTATGTCCAACATTTGTTGTTAATCTGAACTAGAGCAACTAATGTTCTTCTGAAGGAAAATCTCTGATCAAGGAGTAGCTTGCTAGTGATCGTGAACATGCTATTTAACCTTAGATATAAGGTGCTGATGACAATATCAATAATAACACCTACCTTGCAGTTCCCTGAATCAGAGATAACGTATCCAAAGTGTTTAGCACTGTACTTAGCATACAGTAGCAGAGTTAAAAACTCACCAAATGGTAGCTATGATTTCAAAAGCTAAACAAACATATGCAATATCACTTTTTTTTTCTTAAGAGTTATTATTTCCTCCAAGGCTATTTACCAGACACTGAAGTCACAGTCCAGTGAGCGAATTTAAGAGAGAAACTCAGAGCACAGAATGCTCAGTTCCACAGAATTCCAACATACAAGTCTAACTTATTACTGTATCACAGCTAGCTCTACCATGACCTGTAAATGGCATGAAGTAAAAAAAAAAAAAAAAAAAAATGAAAAAAAAACAAAAAAAAAAAAAAAAAAAAAAAAAAAGCATGTGAAACAACTTTAATTATAAAAATAAAATGTATTTAAATTATACAATATATTTACTATTACATACAAATTCTTCTTCTCAACTGGAAAGTTTTTTGTACAGTAGAAACAGTGTAAGTCCCCATTTTATTTATTTCTTTGATCCTAAGCCTCTACTTGTTTCCCTTCCACAATTGGGCTGGGTCTTAAAACCCATATGCACATTAATTACAGCATTTATTTTTCCCTAAAAAGCGGTTATTAAGCTAACAGTGTATCTAAAAAATATTGTTAACTTAAATTCAAAAACATTTAATAGTTGAGATGAGTAAATGTCTTTTTTTACTTTATCAGCATTATATCCTTTATTCCATATGTACTACGTGCCCAGTCTTTCTTACATTCCTTGTAATCTTGAAATGGAAACCATGTCCTGTTAATGAACATGCTCCTCTCTGTTTTTTCATCAGAAAGCCACAAATTAGATAAAGCATTTTGTTATCTGCCTTGGAGCAATATGTTTCAAATTAAGCCCAGCCTCCCAGGTTTCATAGTTTAGGTAGCTAAGATACATGCAGGTGAAAAGTAAAAAAACTAAATCAATTATTTGTCTTTCTACCTACCACATAACTATTTTAAATAATTTTCTCTAGGTACTTAGTTATCTTGGTCATGACATCATAAAGAGTCCTAATTTGTCTTTAATAAGCAACCCCTATTTACATGTATTTGAAAAACTGCCTCGTGATACTGACAGAGCTATAGTATTAAATACAAAGATGAATAAATGGTGTGAGTGCAAAACAGTGTATTCAACTCCAAGCTGACTCAAAGGCTTATACATCCATTTCAGCACTGGGAACAATTTTGCTATAGAATGGAAAAGGAAAATGAGAGAACAAGATACAAATTTTTGTGGGATGATAATTTTGCATAGATATCACAAGATCATTATCACCTATTAAAAATAAATACACTTTGTTAGGTAATTCTGAAATTGTTTCCATTTTGGAGTTGGCAGAAGATACTGGTCCTCACATAGCAGCTGCCAGTGCTCTGTTCTCATGTGCTTTATATAGTACAATAGGTATACAAAAGCCTCTGAGCCATTCCAGTATTCCCACTGCTCTGGTAAATGAGAGACAAGTTGTAGGCAATATCTCTTCGCAAGTCTAACTGGTCAACTTCTATACCCTAGGGAGAAAAAGATACATTTATGTTTAATATTTCCAACTGTCGACCAGGACAATTTTATGGCAAATTAATAGTTTTATAAGGGTAAATTTTCAAAAGCTATGAAAGCTCATATACTAAATAAATTTATAAAACTATACATATTCCTTGGATGTATCATCAAATATTTTAACTGTCTAAGCAGTAAAGTCTCACCCACAAGCTACAGCAGAATAAACTCCAGATGAATTTAGGATTTAAGAGTAAAAAACAATTAAACCATAAAAGAAAAAAAAATGGGGTAATATAATCTTGGTTAGGCAAGGCCCTTTTTATGATAGCAAATGACCAGATGGGAAAACAATACCTATGCTATATACAGAAAGGTATGTAAAGCACAGGGTTAGGAGGGATACACCAAATTTACTATAAAGATTACCTCAGGGGTATTATAGTTTTTCCCACATAAATAACAAACCAGTGAGTTCAATGGAATAGATTAGACCTATGTTTCTAGTCTTTCTCAATACAAAAACTTTGGGTCAACTGAAAGAAAACCTGCAACAATTAAATATGATACCTATAAAGCTCAAGCATAAGCTGTAACAATAGTTATGAAATAACACTATATAAATATAAACAACTTTTAATAAATCTGTTAGGTGTATTTGAAAAACTGCTTCAAGTAATATTGACAGGGCTATAGTATTAAATGCAAAGATGAGTAAGTGGTGTGAGTAAAAAATACTGTTTTTACACATAAAAATATAAATATATATGAATATGCATATACACATTTATACATATATATGTATGTATAAAATGTGTATGAAATACATATATATGTGTGGGTCAAGATGGCCAGGGGGAGACCTATGTTAATTTGATGTAAATAATTATAGTTTGCTTGGCTCTGAGTACCCTGAAGTTTATACACTGAACTAAACTAAATTATTGATGCAGTTAATTAGAAATCAAGCAGCAACAGGAGGCCTAAGGTAAAGACCATCCGAGAGCTCAGTAACACCGGGGAACACCTCGGGGTGGTTGCAGAGCTGGCAATACTGCTCTCGTCCCACGAATGCCTTCAACATGGAGACTGCATGAGGGCCTCATAAAGAGGGCTTATGCAAAGATCTCTGAGAAGGGAGGCGACTTCTGCTCACAAGATCTGGGAGGGCCTTTGCAGATGGGAACTGGTAAGGAGGAAAAAGCCTTACAGGGGGCAGAGATCACGGAACACTTCAGGCTCTGCCTAGGTTCTCAGAATATGGAGTGATTTTAATCGATGCTCAGGAGATAAAAGCCCTTTGATGCACTGAGTATGGTCAGACCCCTCATCCACTATACTTCTGATGTAGCGGCACCCTGATAACAATCGGTGATAAACTCAGAGTACTAGTTTAGCATGTCTTAGAAGGATCTCTAATGCTCTCCCCACCCAGCTATCTTACCTATCCCTTCACCCTCCCCTTCCATGCCCTTGAGATCAATGAGATTATACACATAATAAAAGTATCTGAAGCCCAGAGCTCGGGGCCAACGTGTTTCCCACGTTGTGTTGGTCCCCTGGACCCATGCTGTACATTTGATTCTTGTGTCTCTATTTCCTTTTCTCAATCCTTTGTTGCCCTCAGGACTGAGGGCACCCACGAATGGGTAAATACATACTATTTATATATGTATAAAATACATATATAAATAGTATATATTTTATACATTTATATAAAACAGCATCACTATAAAAATATATATTCATTTGTTTAAACTGAGTGAGAAAACAAATGTGAGGGAATACAGGGATTAAGAGTTTTAAAAGTTTTTTCTAATACAGTACCGTGTTAAAATACATTTAAAAATTAACATATTTCTGGTCAAGTCATAAGGCTCAGATATCAAAGATCTACCTGTTACTGAAAAGAATTATGTAAATGTACCGAATAGGAGAAAATACATTTTAATATACAAGCTATAATTTACTGTCTGGACTTAGCTAACTCCACTTATCTTCAGACAGATGAAGTGTCTCAGTTTTAAAGATGTACAATACCTCTACCACAAGTGGAGGGAGCTCCAGGGCCTTCTGATAATAGTGGATTGCAAGATGAATCAGCCCCAACTGATGAAGACCACGGCCCAAATTGTAGAATGATTCCTGGCAGGGCCCACGTAAACTGAGGTATCGATTAAGAAAGGAAAAGCCCTAAACAAAAAGAAAAACAATTCAATATTTCACTGATTTGACAACTATGTACTAGACCACTGTATAACCAGGTGCTGAAAATACAAACATTTATTAAAAAACATATCTGCTTAGTATCCTATCACTGTGTATTACAGTGTAGTTCAGTGTCAACATTATAGCTCTTCTCAAGATGTAAGAATTTTTTTTAGCTAAGTATAAATATTCACAGAAAACAGCCAAATGTTACAACTAGCTACCAGAAATTCATAATCTACAAGTACACAATACTTTAAAAAAATAATTTCAAGTTGGCTTGTGCCATTGTAGGCCAATAAACTTTCTGATGTGAGATTCATGCCTAAAAGCTTGAGCAAGACACAAAATAATGATAATTTACAAAGGTTTCCTCTCAGGAGCAAATTTACTTGAGTATACTTAACCTTTTAGGGTAAATTTTACCTTTTATATTACCTCTTAACCCAAAAAACTGGATTTTTTTCCTTCTGAAAGCTTCTGACTCAAAGACTTTATGGAGAAATTATTTCAGAGCACAGCTACAATGACGCTGGCTCCCTGTGGGTCACAGAGTCCAAAAAGCAACTTGTTTTTTTACCTCTTCCCTATTCACTTTCCCTTTTAATAGAGCTTCAGCTTTTATCATCCACTGAAATTACAAATTGCAAAGGTCCAAGAGTCCTAATTAAGTAATCAAATATATTACCAGATAATTAAGAATAAATCAACTATTTATGATATATAAAATATAATTATTCTCTAGATGATCTGCTATACAATAAGTGGTCACAAATTTTCCTTTATAAATAGGTAAATAATAATAAAAATTAATGAATTTTGAATGAATGCATTTTAGGAGTAGCAGTACTCATGTTCAGTATACAAATCATACTTTCTGCATAATAAAAGAACCTATTTGTGTGACTATGATCTCTATTCCACTGAAACACAGTATCAGCAGATTATTCCACTATTAATCACAGAGAAATATCGTCTTCATATTTTAAAATGACAAATGTAAAGATAAAATATGAGGAAAAAGGAATAGTAATCTCAGATGAACTGTTGTAATGCAATGAACTTGTAGGTCTTCTAATACAATATGAACTTGTAGTTCTAATGCAAATGAACTTGTAGGTCTTCTAACACAATAATGGAATTACTTGCCTTTAAGAAATTTTTAACAAATTTAAGAAGATAATCTCATTGACAGCTGAAATAATATTTAGTGATTTTAAAAACTAGACAGTGTGGGCAGCCACTTTATTTTATAGGTACTATGAATTACCAAGTTAAAAAGCTGCAAAAATAATGACAAAAGCACATCTTTTTTTTTTTTTTTTTTTTGAGATAGAGTCTCGCTCTGTTGCCCAGGAGCACAGTGGCGTGATCTTGGCTCATTGCAACCTCCACCTCCTGGGTTCAGGCAATTCTCCTGCCTCAGCCTCCCGAGCTTGGATTGCAGGTCCATGCCACCATGCCTGGCTCATTTTTGTGTTTTTAGTGGAGATGGGGTTTCACCATTTTGGCCAGGCTGGTCTCATACTCCTGACCTCAAGTGATCCACCCACCTTGGCCACCCAAAGTGCTGGGATTACAGGCAAAAACCACCACAACTGGCCAAAAATTATGTTACATTTCAAACATTTAAATAATCACTAAAGGGCCCAATGTACTCACTGTCTATCTAATATTAAATAAAGGTAGACATAAGGAAATGAATGATTTTACTTTTAATACAACATAAAGGTAAGAAAGATAAACCATAAAAAAAATTTTTTTAGGTAGTATAATACAAAACTAACTATAGTCCCATAGCAGGAAGAAAGAAAAATAAGAGAAAGTAAAACAATTTCAGGAATGATGTTATTTACAATAAAATCTGCTTCTCAGAAACTTTATGGAAAATGTTTGACATACACAAGAGATTAGTCCAATGAACTTCCATATACCCATTACCTCGTTTCATCTCTACCTCCAACCATTTGAAGGCTACTATTCAACTATAAAAGTAATTTGAAATTTAACTTCCATATTACATGAATGTTTGTCCTACCAGGCCAAAAAAACTGCATATTTTACATATTTAATGAGTTAATCTATAAAATGTTCTCATCAATTTTTACCAGAATTTTATGAGAGCAAGAAATTCTGCCTGTGTACTCACTCACTGCTGTGTCCCCAGTTCCTAGCACACAATGAGCGCTCAATATGTTTAATTTATACACAATCCTACATTACTTAATATAGCAAACAGTATCCATTAAGGAAGAAAAAGCAGCTTTGAGGAAAAGGTAGAATATAAAAAAAGGAAAAATTTACAAATTTTTGTTTTTCAGGATTTTTAAATTTTCAAATATACAACAGTATAGAGACCATCTCAGTGAACCCCATACCTAGTTTCAACTATTAATATTATTACCATTTTAATGTAGGCTTTATTTTAATCATTTTACTTTAAAAGAAACAAAAAGCCCCTTACTAGACCCTGCTACTCCATTCAAGTCAATGTTTTCTTTCCTTTCTCACCTACGATTTAATAAAAGACATGTCTATACTATAGAATATTTTTAAAACATCAAACATATAAAAATGAAATCACAGAAACAAAAGTGCTGAAGGCAGAGTAGGGAACAAGAAAGACAAGATATCTGACCTCTTGGACTTTATGCTTTCATTAGAGGAGACAGCTATTAAAAAAGCAAAGAAGGGGACTTCCAGCAAGATGGCCAAATAGGAATAGCCCCAGTCTACAACTCCCAGAGAGATCGACGCAAAAGGTGGGTGATTTCTGCATTTCCAACTGTGGTACCTGGTTCATCTCATTGGGACTGGTTGGGCAGTGGGTGCAACCCACAGAGGGCAAGCTGAAGCAGGGTGGGGTATTGCCTCACCTGAGAAGTGCAAGGGGTCAGGGAACTTCCTCTCATAGCCAAGGGAAGCCATTAGGGACTGTACCGTGCACTCTGGCCCAGATACTGTGCTTTTCCCATGGTCGTTGCAACCCACAGACCAGGAGATTCCCTCCAGTGCCTACACTACCGGGGCCCTGGGTTTTTTGTTTTTGTTTTTTAACTGCATTTTAGGTTTTGGGGTACATGTGAAGAACATGCAAGATTGTTGCATAGGTACAAACGTGGCAGTGTGATTTGCTGCCTTCCTCCCCATCACCTA